AAAGACTTTCCTCGTCTGGTGCAATGAAGAAGATCACCTCCGTATCATCTCCATGCAAGAGGGAGGAAACGTTGGACAAGTTCTTGAGCGTCTTATCAAGGGAGTCAAGACCATCGAGGCCCAAGCTCCATTCAGCCGTGACGACCGTCTCGGATGGCTCACCTTCTGCCCATCCAACCTTGGTAAGCTTGAAAAAAGTTTGAAACATTATATTATCGAATCTAGGAACCACCGTCCGTGCTTCTGTCCACATCCGTCTTCCCAAGATCTCCAAGAAGCCAGATTTCAAGACCATCTGCGATGGACTTAAGCTTCAAGTGAGTTTGTTCAGTTTCGAATTGAGAAATATAAATTAAAATTTAGATCCGTGGTATCCACGGAGAACACTCCGAATCTGAGGGAGGAGTTTATGACATCTCCAACAAGGCTCGTCTTGGACTTACTGAGTTCGAGGCTGTCAAGCAGATGTATGATGGAATCAAGTACCTTATTGAGCTTGAGAAGAAGGCTTAAATTATCACATTATCGCTTCACAACAATTCTAGCCAGTTCTCCTCTTTCCATTAAATATCTGTCCGCATATGAGCGCACCCTGTTTCGTAAATATAGATGCATGGGGAGAGCAAAGAGCTTTTCCGCCAGTTCATCTGATAGACTTCATAGATTGTACATCATATGCTAACGTAATAAATTATTGAGTAGAACATTTCGTTGTTAGAATCTTCATGAACAGAACGAGGAAACTAATATAGATCAAGAAAGTCATGATTAAAATCAAAAGCAACATGACGGTTTGATTTGTGTAACTTATTGTAAAGTGTAAAACATCGGCAAATGATCAACAAAAGAATATTTGGAATATTTCCGCTCTTATCAGCTTTCGGTCAAAAATAGAACAACAATCTTTGCTCGTGAACTAATTTCATAAGTAAATCGGATATCTCAACTCCAACAATTTTTATAATTGCCAATTACGGCGAATAACTTGCTCCAATGTTAAATTTGATGACAGATTGGAAAATGTCAGTATATCTTTGTGATGTTTTATAATATGTTGGTTAAGTCCTGATTTCACAATGTGCTTATATTAGTTTACAATTCATTTACAGCTTGGATATTAGAATGAATCTCTAAATGCTGCAATGGAATTGTTGCAAAGAGTCGACGTGCTTCTAGAAGAGGCAACCTTTTCTGATGAGGAATCAAACGGTAATTTCAATTTATTTCTTCATACTGGGAATCTGGGATATTTAGAAGGGCCATGTTTTGATTTCGAAGAGGAGTTGACAAGAATTTCTCGAAATATCGATGAACAAAGTTCAGATTTCTATTCCCTGAAAGAGATAGTTGGTATGAAAGTAGATGCATATGAACCTTTATCGACATTCCATTACTATAGGTGTAAAGAGAACGGAACCTTCGACAAACATATCCGTCAGATTACTTCCAAATAAAAACGAACCAACTTTGAAAAGGTATGACGCATTATGCATGAGATTTAAAATCTCTCACGATCTTCATCTTAGAATAACAAAATTGCATGAAAACACCCTTTCAACCGATTCACCTAGTACTCCCGAAGTGTAGAACAGACCAAATGTCTTCAAGTTCCTAAATCTCTCTTTTAGAATAATACATTTAAATTCGGACACAGAGGATGAATCTGATGGAGAAATTTTATTCCTTAAGTGTGTCCGATCCGAACTTCTCAGTGAAAGAGATAATTTCAAAGATGTGAAACGTGGTAGGTTATTGATCCCTGGGACTGACTCTCTTGTTTGTATCCTATGCTCGAGAATGTCGTCATTGGGTTTCAGAATTCAAATCTGACGAGTTCAAGTCGGAAGTTCAGCAGTCCATTAATGCATTTACTGGAATTATGGAACGTCGTGACTTCATGACGGAACAAAAAGATAACCTTAAGGCTTATAAGGAATTTGTCGAAGACATTGAAAGAAGTCGGACATCTTCCCGTTCTTTGCATATTTTGAATTCCAGAAGTGAGAGAGTCTCACTCATCAAAGGAAAAACCTTCCAAGATGTTTGTCAGAGAATTCAAGAAAGCCATTTCTACTTTCTCATATCCTTTGAAACCTGGTTTTAAATGGTATGCAACAGATTCAACCCATAATTTTATTTTTTTCCTATACGTTTCTAGTCACGACGATAACTTTTTCCGAATCGATAACCTTGTTTGGCAACTCCCTTGTCAGAATGAAACTGTTTCCAGAAAAGCTTATTCCAGATTCAGTAAGTTGTCACGTCGTGCACAGCCCATCTTGTCTGCTTTTCAGTTAAAGCAAAATTCAATCAGAAAAAAATTATGGAAAGTTTCACTATACCAGCTGTGCCTTCTTCGCCTAACGAGAAAGAGCAGGTGCCAAATTCTATCAAAGAATCTGGAGCCACCGTCTTTCCGTCACCACCTCATTCTTATACTTCCATACCAATTATCGAAGAGCCACGTTCACCACTTCCAGAAGAGCAACCAGTCATACCAGAAGAACCACAAGTACTACCAAAACATACGAGTTACTTTACCGTATGGTTGCTTAATCGAAGATCCGATCCGGTCAAGCAATCATACAGTCAAGTAGTTGATAATTTTGTTTAAATTAATTCGTTTATCTTCAGTCTTCTGAACCAGAATCGCCACGTTCTCCTCCCGCAAGCTCTTACTTCAATTATAAGGTTATACCTCTGGCTGGGCCTGCAAGTTCAATTCAATTGGTTAACAACTCTTTATTCACCAGCTCCATGAAGGTTATAGAAACGGAGAAGACCACTTTGAATATTGGTTCGTTTTTTTCCGTTCATTGAGATTAACATCACTTTGCAGATGAACCTCGAAATGTACCTTTGGTTGATACCTCAGTACTACTGCAGAAAACACTTTCTCCATTACGTGGTGAAAAGAAGGATAGCCTTAGAGATATACTTATATCTTCTAACACCCCTTTTCTCAGTGTATGACATTATAGCGTTTTCAAATAGAAAATCTTCTAGCCTTTGAGAAGCACCTCTGAACGAGAAGGTCAGTGCACCTCATGCCCAACTGTGGATGCTCCAAGCTCAACATATCAGAGGATAGATCTGACACCTGAAGTTGTTTCGTGCGTTTCGGATATCGTACATGATGTAGAAAATAATACTTCTGTAATTTTGAGCGAATTGGTAGAAATCACTTGCGACACCAATAGTCAAGCTCAGGTTTTTAATGTTGGATGAACCCATTTTGATTTTATTTTCAGCCTGTACGGAACAATTCGTTAGAATCTGATCTCTCTTATCATACTGTAGCTGAAGAACAGGTTTGGGAGTTCCAAGTTGATAAATGCATCATTCATATTAAGGTAGAGCTGGAAGTTTTGACTTTAGGTGATTCACCTGATGTGCCCGATAATATACCGTAAGCTCTACTTTTGGCATTTATGAAATAAGTGAATAATATTTTGAAGATCAATAATCCCGATCACATATGAAGGTGCTACTCCCCTAAAAGGTTCAATTAGCTCCAGCGAATCACAATGTGTACGAATATCAGTTGAAATGTATTTGAATGAGAACCGCTTCTTCAATTCCAGAGTATAACAACTGAACCCCCTAAAAAACTTAAACTGTCGTCTATATCCAAGGTTTGTTAAGTTTAAGCATCTTCACTGAGCGTCTACGTTTTTTTTTCCTTTTTTTTTCTTTTTTTTTTCAATTTTTTATTATCTATTCTCCTTTTTTACTTGTCATAGCTAATAGCACAACCGCTCTCCGCGTTTTTCGTCTTATAAATGACTGTTTGTATTGTTTCCTCTTTGTGTTACTCCTGTTATCATATATAAGGCTTCTGAATATATATATTTGTTGTTAATTTAATGATATAATACTATGAGAATTTGATTTCTTCTTGATAAATGCTTCAGAGGAAAAGGAAGGCTGACCAGGACTTGTATGTATTAGAGGATCAATCATTCATTGCGTCCAAGGAAAAGGAACCAAAATTGGCTACGTATGCTTTCGGGCCTTCTTCTTAGAGTAATTTTTTAAAATCCAGTTCAAGCCACAATCATAGTTCATATCCAATTGTAACAATTGGAGATGATGATGACGATAATTTCATACGGTACGATATTTTTGAATTGCGAGTTATAGTGAAAGTCTTCAGTATTTCGTTTCTGGATAAATCCCGACACCGGCTAGCTCTTCACTTTACAAATCCTTTCATCGAGTAGTTCAAAGTAATGTTAACAATGGGTAAACCTGGATGTTTAGCTATACTGACCAAGATAACAACAATGTTCCTATCATAACGTTAGAGGACGCTTCTAAACCTCCTAATACTACTTTCCTTCTTCATCATCTTGAAGAAGAGTTCCCAGTGGAAGAAGGCGAAATACCTGATTGGCGACTTGTGCCCATAGACACTTTTCCAGGAGAAGGTATCCCATCTCGAGTGTCGGAACAGTATTAGTTTTCTTCAGGACTTCGTATATTCGAAAAGTATAAATTGCCCAATCACATCGAGCTTCCTCTCCGAAATACTGAGGAGTATGCATTACTTGAATCTGATCGTCAGCCTGTGCCTATTCCTCTGATATCGTAAGGTTTTCTCCCTGTTTCAACTATTAGAAAAATTTCCAGGTTAGCTCCAAAGCAGAGCCAAGCAGTATGCCCATTAGTTACCATTGACGATGACGATGACGATGATGGTACGAGTTTGATTTATTTTACTTCATTTGTTCGAGACTTTCAGATATCATTATTGAAAAGCCTCCTCATCCTGGTATGCTGTCATTTTTGCAAACTCTAGGTGTGTCAGAGTTAAGTCGGAAAAAGAGAGAGTATAGGAAAGTACATGACATGCTCACTGTAAGTATATACTTCATTTTGAACACTGTCCTTGTGTTTTATAGGCAGAGCACCAACGTACCGTCTCTAATTATTCTTACTACTTGAGAGATGAGTTGATGCTGATGGGTAAGTTCTGAAATATTTCTCTCTTACATATTCGAATGTTCAGAGAAAGGCTTGGTTCCGATTTTCGGTACTACTGTCGTCAAACGATACAAGTATCCTTTCGACCATTGTAAGGGATTGTATTGGCCCATTTTCCAACCTACGGATGCAGTGTCCATCAATGATTTACACAAGTTTGATATTTTGCAAGAAAACGAACTCAATTTTCTTTCTGCAGGATTATGGTTGCCGATGTTTACAATCAAATTACGAATCAAACTTGTTATTCTTATGCACAAAAAAAAGATGTCAGTTCATTTTTTTTCATTTAATAAGATTTTCTTGGATTACAGTTGCTTTGTGATTCTTCTCCGAACATCTGGAATACTCAGTTCAGAGAAGTAATGGATAAGTCCGACTCTTATATTACTGAGAGAGGACGTTTCAAAAACAGAGTTTCATATGCACGTGCATTCTCCACCACTTCAGAGTATGCACTATATGTTATAAGAGGTCATTCGAATGTTTAACAGATTGGAAGCGAAGTCTCAGGACTTGTTAAGCCAACTTGAAGAAGCCTTCTGGATTAGAGGCAAGTTAGGAGAAAAGAACATACAGGCCGTCTCTGATCAAGAAGAGAGTAGAATTGTGGAAGCAGGTATGTCAATATGTGTCATCCGACATATTGACTTATTTTGTGTTTGATAGAAATCGAATGCCGTTCGAATATGATGTATGATCATATTCGGTTCAACATCGTTGATAAGTACTCCAGTAGTACAATTGATCCCGATGTAGGAGAGCGGAAAAAGAGTTTATTCGTAAGAGCATAGTTCACGACTTCTCGTGATCGTTTGTTTCAGCCGGATTCTTGGCAACAATATCCACGAGATGTATATTTGTGTACTAATTCGCGGAGAAACCTTATACCAGATGCTGTGAATCACTTGAATTCTATTGCCTATAAAGAGATTGATAACGTACGGAGCTCTTTCTAACGTTTATAGTTGGAACCATATTTCAGACGATCATCAGTCCCCCAAGTGAAGAGCATGTTCTGGAAACACAGAAAGCTATCTTGCATGCTGCTTATCTTTTTCAAGTAAATCCACTTCTGTCATTTCCTTATACGATACTTTCTCCAGAGAGGAAGAATTGGCAACCAAAGTAGTCCTCTTCTTACTGAGGAGGAAAATCGAATTTCGAAAGAACGCATTGGAAAGATTAAGGCTTTAGTAATTCTAATACTTATATTCTGAAGTTCCTTCGGATCATTTCAGTCATTCACTATCAGCTACAACGGAAAGTCTTCGTTCTTGAACGAATTGTGGGAAATGGTTGCTTTGCAAGACTGGGAGACCAAATACTGGCCTATCATATGGGATAATCTAGCTGCAACGTACAAGAAACTCCGTAACTTGCATTTTCTGTGTCGGTGTCCGTTTATGAAACGAATTTCAGCTCCCGTGTCTCTGCTAACGGAAAAATGTTTGGATGAACTTCATCAATCCTTTACTCGATATGTGAATATAAACGATAGAAGGGAGTATTGTAAAATGTGAGTGAAGTGTTTACCCTCTCTCTCTTTCATCATAGATTTCCAGGTATTACTCCAAATTAGATCTCAGAAAGCCTCTAGCGGATGCTCAATAAACTGTAAATTCAATTTCTTTTTATTTATTTTGATAAATCTTATACGAACGTAGTTTTCCCTTTTGGGAAAGGAAATTTTGAAGTTTCGCCGAAGTATTATTGTTTGTTGTTTTATTTTCTGAAAAAAATTGTTAATTTTCCTTTAAAACTAATGTTTTTCTGTTGATTTACTACAATCGTGCTTAACGATTGCAATATTTCTTTTCTGTTGGTGGCTTTCGCAAAATATGTTTAGGGCTGATGGCGACACTCGCAGAGGAGATGCCCTATGTGGCTGTGGTGGCAGATAACCATATAGCTACCACTTGTCATGTCTGTTTCACATCAAAGGTTTTTCTATTTTCCGCTCTTCTCTCAGATTTGTTTCTCTCTAGGAAGATAGAACCCTATCTCGATGTTCCCGTTGTCGTTTTGCTCATTATTGCAGTAAGGAATGTCAGAAAAAGGATTGGCTAGACCATAAGGTTTTGTTTTCCATAAATTCTTGAGGAAATTCGTTTTTTTTGTTCTGCAGTATGAATGTATGTTCCTCATAAATTGTGCTCCGAAAATTCCATGCTCGATGGCTCGAATGATCTCCCGACTGGTTCTGAAACTGGGAAGAGATGAGGAAGAGTATACAGCATTCAATGGACGGAAATTTTCTGATTTGATGGACAGTATGTATAAAACAATTATGGAATTTATCTTGAATGAAATTAGATCGGGAATTTGTAAAGAGAGATCCGGGACGTTCGGAGTTTTTTGTTTGCGTGTCTCATGTTCTAATGGATTATATGGGAGTGCAATTCGTCCCGAAACCTGACATAATTATGTCGTATTTTGGAAAAGTAATTGAAAATTGCTTCTTTTTTTTATAATTTTATGAGTTTTCTTGCAGATAGTCACCAATTGCTTCACAATATTAGACGAAGATATGAATGACTTAGGACAAGGCCTCTATATAGGGTAATTGAGTTAGCAGCAGTTTGTATTTTATTTCCTCCTCTCAGTTTGTCCGTCCACGATCATAGTTGCGACCCAGATGCTTTTGTTTTGTTTGATGGAGCAAAAGCCTTGTTGAGAACTCCCACAAGAGACAAAAGATATGGCAAAGCGGTAATTTTTGATGCGTGGAACCTGAGAAATCTTTGGCTTTCAGATTAAAGTTTCGTATACCGATCTATTCCTGACAAATACTGATCGAAAACAGACTCTCAAATCTCAATATTACTTCGATTGTGTGTGTGCAATTTGTAGCGACGAAACGAGGGTAGAAAAAGAATTGTGTAACTCTTCTGATTGCAAGTTCAACTACTTCCAGGATCATTGGATGCAATCCGTCCGTACAAATTGCTGTTCCGGAGGATTTGCCTTGCTCGATCCAACGAAGACTTCCTTGCATTGCTATCAGTGTGGAACAGCTTCTCCTCTTGCCGTGGATGCGGTTTGTTTGCTCATTAGCTGTGGTTGTTGATGTTTTTCTTCATTCAGGCGATCAAAGCCAACCAAGAATTGGATTTTCTAATGACAAAAAAGGAAAACAAGAGGAGTATAGACGCAGGTTTGTTCTAACAAAGCCTTTAACTCTCTCAATAGTGTCATTCTCCCCACTAATTTCCATTCCGAAATGAGCTGTTTCTTTTTAGATTTGAATGAGAGATTGCGAGTTCATGTGGAAAACTACGAAAGATTCTCAAAGGCAGTACTTCTCCTTTAGCTCTTCCTACGTCATTACTTTTAGATTCTTTCTCCTTTGAACAGCCGTCTTGCCGTTTACAGTCTCTCTATCACTGAGGCAGCTCTCAAATTGAATAGGCAGGATTTGGCTATCAAATACGCATTCTCACATTTGGATGCTAGCAGGTTAGAGTTTGTTGTCATTATTATTTCATATCCTGTTTTTCTTCCTATCTTCAATATTTTCCCATCCAGCTCTTTGTGCTTCCATTGACATTGAATTATCGAGCATCCTCCTTTCTCCATTCATGTGTTTATCTGTTTCTTTGTCGAGTTCCATTTCTGGCTTTTAATGTGATATTTATCTAGTTTATCGACATCTCTACCTTTAAGGCGTTATCTACCTCGTGGTCATCCAGAACTTGCCGTTCGCCTCCAGGGTGCTGCAATCTGCAAATCCTTTGAAGACCCTCCTACTGGATTAGTCCTAGAGCTGTTTCAAGAAGTAAGTTAACTAGTTTTATTCCTATTGATTTCTCATCAAATCTTAAGAAGGCGGTCAAGTCTTTCTTAATCAAATTTATAAGTCTGCACCTCATTTGGATCATCCGCTGCTCACTCTATCTCTCCGCCTCCTCCCCCACTCTCTTACTCTGAGCGTAACTTTCGCCAGCTCTGTTTCAACAAAATCAGCTTTTTCTGACTTCTCGCTCTCTCCATTCATTTATATTTTGGGTTATAACAAAAGGCCACAACTATATTACACATATTTTTACTTTTTCCTTTTTCGCCTCCTGAATTTCACTCTCTCGTCATTGATTATTATTTCATGGATTCAACATCAACTGACTTTGGGATTACTAGATGAAACAACATATTTTGTGTTTTTTGTCGAATCTATGGTCCATGATGTCTTGCTTGTAATCTCCCTCTCCCTCTCTTTTTTTTTCAGTGAATTTTCGTCGGTTTGTGTGTGAAATTCTTTATCTTCCTCTCCCATAAAGGGCGTTTCACCTTCACAAATAACCAATTTCTCCAAACTAAACGAGCTCAACATGATTATGGTTTAGGACGACATTTCCAAAAATGGTATTCTACTTCGGCTCTTAATCTTTTGGTGCTCTTTCAGTTGAAAAGTTTTCTAAACTATTGGCTTGTATTGTTATGTTTTGGTTGAGAGAGTTCAATTACTTCTCACCGTTTCTTCCTCTCTCTCTCAGTTTGCCTAGTCGTCTGTCATACTCCCTCTTCACAGCTCTCTCTAAAGTCTTCTCTCTCTCTTCGTCTCATGTTCTTCTTCCGTCTTTATAGTCATTTATGCTTGTTTAGATATTTTATCTCCCCCTCCTCTTCCCATTTAACCATTCTTCTTTCTCTATAAAAGTACATAGGAAATAAGTTCCAAGTTATGTTTAAAATAAAATATGCGCTCTCTGAATTATTTATCTTGTTAAGTTGACTTTTTTCGTTGAAGCAGAGCTCATTCCATGATACGCGAGTATCTGCCCAATGAGATCCTCATTACAATTTAACTTTTAATCAAGCTTTATCCGCCGCTCCAAGTCGTTTCTTTCCCAATCAAATGAAGCTCTCCGTCCGCGGATTTCTTTAGGTCAAATTGCTTTTTGACAGTTTTCCCAAACATTATCCTTGATGATTCTCCTTAGTTTTCCGTTAAGAGGATGAGAGAAAGATTCAAAAATCATAGTAATTGAAAGAATATCTCTTCATCATCCAAGGTTTAAAATATTTTACGACGTTTGCAACCCTTCTTGCCTTTTATGGATTCTTCAACCCAGATGATTCAATTTTGGGTTTGGTCGATAGATGCTTCATACTGAGTAGAACATGCTCTCATTGCGAAGTGGATGTTTTTGAACTGAGAATTTCTTTTTGCCGTATCCTGTATTAGAGATAGATGTCGTCAAATCGATAGAAGGCGATCTCTAGAAAGTAGCAGCAGCTCCTCAAACATTAATAGTTTTGTAACCTTGGAGCTGTCATCGTTAGCGTCTTGAATTTTCTTAAGAACGATTGGCTATGTGTTTTTTTTCGACTTTTCATGTTTTCATTCCAGGCTTACGAGGCTGCTCTCACAAGTCACGGACCGAGGCACTCACTAACCTCCAATCTCGACCATATGGTGGCTTCATATAAAATTCGACTGCAACTCTGGGAATCCATATAATAACACGATAGAATCTACAGACAATAACAGACCTCCAAATAAGAGAAAGAGAGAGAGGTTAGTTTAATAATATGAAGTGGACGCTTGTTGATGACGAGTTTGTGGTGAGTCGCATTATTTTCTCGCATATTGTTATCCAAGCATGACTGTTTCTTTCAGCCCCCTTTTCCTAGAATTTCTTCTTCCATAACCTTGTGTTGCATTTAAACTTCCTTTTAAAGGCATCTCGTCTTTCTCACACTTCCCCTGAACGACCTGCTATCCATTTTTATACTCCCTAAGGCTTTCCTGCGATCTTTCATATGTCCTCTGCCCTAAATTATGTTGTCTTTCACCATTTGCCGTCTATCTGTGCTTTGTTTTAAGACATGTATCTCAGGAAGAACAGCTTTTTTACGCTGTCAAATAAAGATTTTCTCTATTTGGTTCCGTCCTCATTTGGAATCAGCGTCATTGTGGTGTCGCCACCACATTGATGAAGCCTATAATCAGATATGTTGGCATTCCTCCATCCTGACCGTTGTCTATTCCCCTGCCACCTTATAGGGCAGAGGAGAGAAAAATGACGAATAGCAAGCGAATCTGTCTTCAATACGTTTTCTCCTTCTGCCCGCCTGAGTTGCGTAGATCTCCGCCGGTCTTATACTGATTTTGAGGAATAATCGGCTCGCTTTAGGCTCTGCGATTTCGTGTGTTTATGTGAAAGCAAATGTCATAAGTAGAGGTTTTTCTAAATTCTAAATCAAAGCTGAATCTTCCAAACAGTTTCGAGTCGTGCGTGCGAAATCTTCTGAGCCGCTTTAAAGAAGATCAATCTTTCGAAGGCGGCGAATGATTGAATGTACTTCTTAATTATCCTCTAAACAGCCCTATTTTTCTCTTTTCTCCTGAGCTTCGTGATTCATTGCTGTCTTGTCTTCGCAAACTTTCAAAAATTGCTAATTTATATTCGTCGTTCATATTTTCTGAAAAAGTTTTGTTTCATAATTGTGTTTCTGCAAACAACATCCATTTGCTTACACTCAACAACATTCGCTAGTTGAGCAGGCTTATCGAATTTTTTGAACATTTATCATCCGGAATCCCACCGCAGTTTACCTTCTCCTCTACACGATGACGTTCCATCTTTTTAAGATATTCCACAGCGGCTGTTTCGATACTCCTCATTAATCCATTGATATCACACTTTACAACAGTGATCAAAGTCTTCGATATGTAATTCTATATGATTTTATAGGATTTTCTTGATTTGTGTGTGTCTTTATATGCTTGTTCTGCTTATACATCGAATTTGATTCTTAAAGGGCATATCAATTACAGCTTTGACAAGTTTGATACTCCATCTCCTCCTTCGCTTTTCTCCGATTGCATCTGGAGTTATATATGATTCTATCTCTCGAGCAACAATAATCAGTTGGTAGAACATATTTTATTCAATGTTATTCATGAAACAGTTGTTTGTATTCAGCTAATAAGATTAGAGTCGAGAAATGCTTCATAAATCTCTGCGATTTTCTGAATCTGGAGTGTTTTCTACGTATTTAGTTTCACGTAGATGCGTGAACATGTTTCATTTTCAGTTTTCACGGATTTTATGAGCAGTCGTATTCCTTTTATTTCCTCAGCTCCAAACTCACTGAACGGTTGCTTTCGCTGCGTATTTTCTCTCACATTAACTTGTTCTTTAACATGGGAATGCTTTCAATATTTTTTTGGTTTTCCCAAGTTTCTTTCCGACTCTACTTGGGTGTTGATTTTCAAAACTTATTTCCATTTGTGAAGTCGTGCCCTTCTAATCTCGATTTGACTAATAATGGATTCTTGGTGGCCATAGATTGATAAATTTGCTCTGCTTCTTTCTTTATATCCACTCTAAAGCTTTCTGACGTGTGTCAAGCTCTGCTTCATATTGCCTCAGGGCATTTCATACGATTTTCGGAGATTGGCACGATATGTGCGAAGCTTATGCTTCTGTTTCAGTAATTCAAATGATGATGACTTTTTTAATTGCTGGGATTGCCTCATAATTGCTTCTTTCCGAAGCTGTGGTTAATAAAGCAGAGCTCGTATATCGGCGATACATATGCTAGTTATCGCTACACATCCATTATGAAATTCAAGCCTATTTTAGCCATTAATAACAACTCGCTAAATCGGGCCCGTATTTGGTATCAGGCGATTGAAGTTTTTCTGAAACTTCCAGCACTTTCATCTGCTATGCTATCATTTATAGATTCTACTTCATTTTTTCGTTTCTTGATGTTATGTTTTTATAAAATATGGGTGGTGAAGCTGCAGACACGTAGAGAAGCTGCCTAGCAAGCAAGCAAAGCGACACAAAGCATCTGGCCAGTTTAGAGTTGTGTAGCTCAGGGAAGGAAGCGACTTTATTTCCACCTCTGCCCGTGTCTGTTTCGTTTCAGTTTCTAGTTTGAATTATTATTAATATATGCAAGCAGTTTTACCACTGCCCATTTTTGATAGAACTAGCAGATGTAAATACCATTTTGTCTTTTTAAAAAGTCAGATCTATACGTAATACTTTTTTTTTCGCAACTTTCATTACTTCTGAACTCTTGGCCAACGTAAGAAATCATGATAGAGTAGTAGTGCCGGAGGCGTCTTTCCCTTAATGGATCGAAGCTAATAAGCATTGTGTAATACGAAGATGTTCTCTTTCTCTTTCTCCTCCTTCTTTTTTTTTCATTTGTATCGATGTTGCTTCTCATCTTCCTTCGCTTTTCTTGTACTCGAGAACATGTATTGACGTTGCCGAAGAGAAATGACCTAGAGAAGAAGAATAATGGAGAGAAGTTCAAGAAGAAGAAGAAGAAGAAGAAGCATCGTTCATTCGGTTAATGAGACTTCAAGCACTTGACTTCAGACAATGAAGTTAATATGATTAAAATGTAGTTACTATTTGGTTTTGCAATCGACTGCTATTCTCGTTCATTCGGTGTAAATCCTCTTACGTTTTTGTTTTTTTTTCTGCTCAATCCTCTCAATTTCTTCTTTTCCTCATCATAATCGTCATCAGCACTATGCGATCTGCACGTGTTTTCATTCAGAAAGACATTCCTCCCATTAACTTTATTTTTACTTTCAGTTCAACCACATTTCTATTCATTTCACTCGTAGCTTCATAATTTTCTATTCTATTAATTCAATAAATGGACAATTTCACTTCAATCCACGACATTGATGAAGGTGATGAATTTCGTCGTTCCATTGACACTAAATGGTCATATTTTGTAAGTTCAAAACCTAACCCACTTCCTCCTCTCACCACAACACATTACTTTCAGATAGAGAAATGGATTTATGGAATAAGTTTTTTTTTGGGTATTTTCGCTTTCCTTTATACGTTCGGTCGATTAGTTAGGTTCGCAGATATTTCTCTTCCTCTTTCCTAATCTTTTGTTTCCAGAAGTAAAGGCAAAGGTCAAATATGGGCAGCTCGCTTGCTTTCTTATAAAATCAGTTTAACTGTTGCTGATGGTATTATTCTATTCATTTACGCTCCTGTGCAACTTTATTGGATATCCAACGTTTGGGTTTGTGGCAGTGTTTTCAGCTCCCAAATAAGTACATTTCTTCTTTTCAGTGGAGAGGAGGTGACACATTGTGTGGATTGTATAAGTTCATTTCAACATTTGGCATTCATTTAACAACGAATATGCAGGTGAGTTCGACACATTTGCATCCCACAAGAATCTCCTGAATACGAAGTGTCTTGCTTCCAGGTCCTAATTGCATATGATCGGCTGGCATTTGCTGCCACCATGAGGACATTAAGATCCAAAAGAAATGTAAGTTTGTGAGGCGGAAAGATGACATGTATTCCATTTTTTGCAGCGTAACGAGCCTTATAACTCGCGAATGTTTCTGAGCCTTGTGTGGGCAATAGCATTACTCTGTTCAGCACCGCAGTATTTTCTTTTTTCGACAGGGAAAGTTCATTTTGGGAATTTTAATGATACAAAGGAACAGTGTATATCCATATGGTAAATATTTCCTTCCTATTTTTACATCTAATGAACACCTGATTAGCTTCATATCTTATTTTGCTCTTATTTTGCTTAGAAATGCTTTCCCTTCTACTCCTTAATTAGTTTTCTGCTTCCAATCAATACAACTTATCTTCCAGGTTTCGTGAACGAAGTAGAATATTTGAACAGATGCAGTCGTGGCGAGATTTTGAGTATTTTGAGCATCTGAAGCAGAACGAATCATCCGAAGTACATATTAGGGTTATCGCTTACATTCGGAATCAATTGCTTTTAGCTATATCTGCCGGACGGAACTCTCGCTTGGGTCGTTAAGAAACCTGATTTCAGCAAAGAAGCTCTCGCTATCGAGGACTCCTTCATGTATTGGCTAGAACAGGTACGCTCATACTCTTTCTTGAACGAACGTCACTCTTGATCTCGTTATTCTGCTTGAAATCGTTCGTGTCATTGATGCATAGCATATTAGAAAATTAGTTTTTTCTTCTTTCTATTCGTGTCTGATTTGAGCCTTTATTTAGTTTTTCAACTTCATTCATCTGGCGACTCTGATTGCAATTCCTTACGCGCTTGAAGCGACATTTCTCTGGGGGACGGTTAGTATTCTATCGAAAGCAGAAGGTGGAACTTTCTCTTCTGTTTCTGAGCTGCTCAAGGCAAAGTATACATCATCGAGTTCTTCATTGATTTCATACTTTTTTGTATTCAGTTGCTGCCCATGTTGGTGTTGGAACTTAATGCGAGAAAGAATGGCAGCTTCTGCTGTGCGTTCTTCTTCCGTTTGTGGGCCTTCATTAATTCATCGGTCGTCGTCAGCTTCTCTAGACCGACCAGCTGTTTATCAGATGTCGTCTGTGGCACGTCATGGGTCTTTAGTTAAGAAGGTTTTATAAAGCTCTGCGAACTTCCTCTGAAATCCTTAATTCTCCAGAAGCAAAGTAATGGGATTGGTAGCGTTGAAAGAAGCAGTAGTAAAAAGCATCACGAAGTGGCGACAGGCCTCCTGCTGACGAGAGGTATGAACTCAACCCAGACAAGGAGCAACCTTAAAGTTCAGAAATGAGAGATCGTTCCGCCAGTTGTTCCAACGTCGATGACATTCTCAACGTTCAGAATCGATTACCTAGAGAAGTTCAAACGATTAAATCTGGTACAAACAACACAACAACCACGATTGATCCTTGTTCTTTGTCTTTGCAGACACTGTCGTGGTCCAAGCTCCATGGAAAGCCACAGTCTCAGCTGCGAAACTTCGTGCGCGAAAGAAAGCGATTTTCATGGTCGTAGCAAATCTGATTCTCTGGGGTCCATACCTCTTATTGGGAATCATAAGTGCGGTGATCGTGTTCGATAGCTATGTCCATTTCCAATTCGTAAGTGCTCTAATTTGCTTCAATGCTATTGTTAATATTATTTTGTAATTAACGTGCCATTTTGCTCAGCCAAAAGTGAACAATGGACTACTATGTTTGTCTAATTCATATCCTTCTCAATGCACTTCACCATTTTTGCCTTTAAAGTTGAACCTTCGTGTTTCGCTTTCTGTTTTGATACCGATGATTGGTTTAAGCGTGATCTCTTTCCTTATTTGTTCTTGAATTTTTGGTTGAATTCATCGATCTCGTTATAGGGTTTATTTCAAAAAGTTTATTGATTTTATTAGCGCATTGTGATACAACACAATAAAGCTTCAATTTTTATTACATTTGCTATGCATTGAGATTCTTTGGACCGCCTGAATTACCATATTGCTCTTTTCTCCTTAGAGATCCGTCTCCCTCTTTTCATTTGAGTTCACGTATGAGTGTTTTGCTTGTGAGGACTCTTCTGATGGCGTGCTGGAAGTGCAAGGAACAGATGAGTCCATACTTATATTCTCATAGGGTTTATTTTCTTTCGGCTTCTTCAAAATAGACACGGGACCAGATTTGTAGTCTTTCGTGTTTTCATATGGGTGAGCCTCTTTAGGATTTCTCGAAGTTGGTGTCGAGGTAATAGATCCTCTGGTATTCTCATAATGATGATTAGGCTTGGGAGTGAATGAACTACGGCTGGCTTCTTCGCTTAGCTTCAGGTGCTCCTCTAACGGATATGAAATGGGAGGTTGTTGATTTCTTGGAATTTGGTTCATGTTGAAGCCTTGATGTTCTCTCAATTCCATTTCTTCTTCATAAGCTTCCTCTTCCGGTAGTTTGACCCGAGTAGAAACAAAATAACATATGCCCACGAATACAACAGCCAGAAACTGAAGAACTGCATTTCCCAAATGAAAATCAACTCGTAGACGATCGTTGTCGTATATAACGCAATTTCCGCGATCTGAAATGAAAATTATGAGTTCCAAAATGAAAATGGATGGTTTGTTTGGTATTTGAAATGAAAAATAGGATAATGTTGATGGTGTCTTTTTAGATGATCATCTGCTGACGTCTGATATGTTTTCAAATATTATTATAACTTCATCTACCATTTGGACATCGGCTATGCCACATCACACAGGCTGAGTCTATTATCCATCCAAATATGATGGGAGCTGGGATAAAACCAAGAAGATTGGTGGCACACGAAGCAAGTGAAAGCGCCATAACTTTCTGATCGTCATAAACGGATCTGAATAATCATTTCAAGATAATGATAGGAGAGATCATAACGGAAGTGATAAATAAGATTCAAAAAAAGGGAAAACGATCTCTGCATAACTGGCCAAAGGCTAGTTTAGAGTCCTCAGAACTGATATTACGTTTGCATATTTTGTTTTCTACCAACTGTGTCTCACCTCAAAACAATCATCATGGTTACCATGAAAAATAAGTTTCCCAAGAAAAGGCCAATGAATATCACAATGAGATATATGTATATTTGATTGCATTCATTGTGAACCAGACCCTTTGTAACCATGCCGCCCATGGCTGATGCACAGTTAGACCACTGAAATAATCTCATCGATAACATGGGTTTAGGAACTGTCATCTTTGATCTTTGATAGAATACAAACCTCATCTCGGTATGGATCGTAGTCGAGACATCCTGCATGGCATGGTGAGAAGAAATTTCTGCCATCAAAATGCACACCATCAAACTGAAAAACAGCCTGACACTGGCAGTCAGATGAAAAAATTTGCAGATCTTCATGATCATCGAAGAATGACCATCTGGAGTTTGTTTAAAGATTAAAATGTATGTTTATGTGTTCTGACTTCTTCATTGATGCATCGTAATCGAGACCTGCTATACTTGTTTGCTGGCATCCTACAGACATGCCGAGAAGATACGTTATCTAAATATTGCATAAGAAATCTTAGGAACGATTCGATGCTTAATACCATGATAATAATCCATGCTCCGAATAAATATAAAATTGCTTTTCGTGGGGCTACATCGTATTTTGTTAATAAATATCCTCCGAGAGCAGTAGATGATGCGACAGCTCCGATCGAAATGAAACCTGATAAGACGCTATATGAGATCAAAAATATTATTTTTTTTTCTTTTTTTGCAAAAAAATAATCTTATAATGAAAAAATTGATCTTCATAATTATATATGAAGCTGAAGAGAAAGCAATAAACAGCTCAAAGAGCAGAGTTACAATGAGAGCAGTGCTTTATGAGTACTGATGCATGGGGGAAAAAGATCTCTGAGAAAAGAAAAAGCACATGATCCTGCTTCCTTCTTTCTCTTTCTTTCTTTCTCTCGCTCTTCCTCTTCTCATACATTCTTTACTCCCTGTCTGTGTTATCTATTATTTCGGAAGTGTTTCCGGAAATTTTACATTAAAATAGATATCAAAAGAACTAATGATGTCGTCCAGCATGTCAGACATCAAAGCTTGCAAATATGAAATAAAAATGTTATTCGTCTTCATTGCTATTATATGAGACATGACATTAGACATAGCCCATATGTGGTCTTCTAATTTTCATCTGATTCACATCTCCGTTTCATGCTCTTCTCATAAAGCTTTTTTCTCTTGTTTATCTTCTCATTCTCTTCCCCCCCCCACTCGTCTACTCTCCGCCTTCGCTCATTGTTTCTCATATCTTGCTTCCTTATTTTTCGTCATCTCATAAGGTTTTCAGTTAATGACAATCGAGACACAGCCATAGGAAATGTTTTTGTCAGTTTTTTGAAGAAAAGACCACCCACACCATAAGCGATGAATGAAAAAATCCCAGAAAAGGGTTCGAGGAGAAACAAAAAGGCAAAAAGGAAAGAAGAGAAGAGCATGTGTAATGGGGAGATGAAAGGGGACATAGAAGTCTCTTTCTGTTTCATTGAAATATGAGTAAGCATACCTGCATAGAAATCGGCTATGCTTGCACTACGTCCAAACTGAGTCTCTATATACTTGGGAAGATATGTTTGATAGCCGCCGATAAGGTAACTTCCGAACATCCAAGCGATTACCATCGTTATGTATACTGGGTTTTGCATCAAATCCCATACTATGTAAGGGAACTCTGAAAATGACGTTGGTTAATTGACTAATTACAGTAATTATATAGTATTTTGGACTTTCAATTGAGCTGCTCTTTGATTCAGAATATCAATGCAACCGGGCTATGAGCAAAAAAAAAGTAAAAATGAAAACGCGTGGGGTTTTCACGCATAGACGTGTCTAATTAGCATATTTGATTTTTATGCAAATTAATGTGTTAGATGCGTGCGTAAAAACAAAAATTGTGAAGTTTCTATTTCAAACGGATATTCCTAATAGGAAAGCTTTCTCATTTTAGATGATGATGATTTCACTTCCTCGTCTAAATATTACGCGATGGCAATATGCTACCGACAACGAGGTTGTAATTAGAATATCTATTTTTGTATTATTCATATGAAAGAGAAGGAGAATGAGAAACCTTGAATGGCTATCTTAGCTTTTTCCCATTTACTTAAATGTCGTGAAGAGTCTTGGCTTAACGTTGGACTGATAGATGATCGTAATGGTACCATCTCATGGCCATTTGGTCTGTAATATCATTTCAAATCATTTCTTGAGCTTTACGAGAGCTTAATCACTTGTATGAGCGTGGGAAGAAGAAGAATGGTGTGGCACATAACAAGTATAGAATACCACAAATGACGAATCCTAGCCACCAAGCACCAACCCATTGTTCATCAGATATTTGAACGTGTGGCGGTGCTGAAGATGTTATTTCAATTGATATCAAATCTCATCAGAATTTACAATTCCATTTATAGCGCATGGCAATTGTTTTTTTCTTTTCTCAAGTGTTTGCTTACCTGCCCCTAAAGTTATGTAAACACGTGTGAGTCCTGCTGATAACGCAAACCCCAGTGCAGGACCGAAAGCATACATACTCGTGAGTAAACCTCAAAGAAAATAATTGAATTTTCAAGTTTACCCCATCCTCCAATTACCTAATAGAAGAGGAGATCTTCGACGATCCTGAACATTGGTATCTATATATACATAAGCTAATGTGTTAAATGGAGCAGCAAACACTCCAGCTAAGATCTGACCGAAGACTAACAACGCGTAAGCTATCTGCAAAAAAGTTTTCATTGCCAACTTAAGGCTTTTAAGGAAATTTAACGAAAAGTTTTGTTTCGTTTTTCCCATTCCTAATAAGGCAAAAGACATACATTATTCTCTTTCTCATCTAGTTTACAATCCTCTCCTTGAGTGAGTAACTCACGATCGGAATCACATCGAAAGTCTCGTTCATAGATTTCCTTAACAATGATGTTTAATACTTAGAAGCATCGTTAATGATGTTCGTGCCTTATGTTTTAAGAAAATCTCAGTTTCATGATTGACTGTTCCATATAAGGCAACAGGTAGAGCCAGGATGAACATGGCAACCGCACTCATTATTACTCCTACGAGATGAATATTTATGACAAATCTTATGATTTATTTACCAATTCCTGTAAGTCGAGGTAGATGGCTTTTGGAACCAAAATAACCAATCATGAGTATGGCAACTGTGTGTCCTATATCATATAGTGAAAGCAGTAATCCGGATTTTTCGGATGAAATTCCGAATCGTCGTTCTAATGTCGTTAATATTCCTACAACATAGCCAAGATATGTACCCTGAGAAGAGAAGAGACTGTTAGGAGAAAGTATATCTCATAGATGATCTACCTGTATGGCAACAACAATTATCATAAGAATAACAAAATGATTAATAGATAGACGATGATACCGCTCTGGCAGCCGCAACGGTAGGTCCATGCTGCTTACTCCTCCTTAATGAGACTGATTTCTGAATTTGAAATAAACAAGAAGGTGAGGATGTGATGAGTCATGTGCGAAGGTTTATTTGCTGATAGAAAAGCTCAGTAAATGAATGTCTTTGAGAAATTTATATAGAAAGAGATACATCATCAGCCATATGAAGTGTTGAAAGATTATGATCTACAAGTGTTCTGGTTGCAAAACATGAATTTGAAGAACTGAAAGAGTGAAGAGCACATATGATAATTCGTCTTTACATGGAGCTATCTAGTTCAGGTATGCTTTTGATGATTCATCTTATTGTGTGGGACTTTCAATTCAATATATATTCAACCAATTCAATCAATATGATGCATGGCGATAAGAAATGCAAATCGAAGTGAGAGAGAGAGGGCCAAAGAAAGGAAAGAGGTTAAAAGAGAGAAATCAAGTGAGACAGAGAGGGCATTAGATACCGCGAAATAGGCAATTGCCTGTAAAACCATGATAGAAATAGTGAGAGAAATCAATCGGATTTGTAACCATAATTTGAGTGTTGTAACATCTCAATGTTGATACTGTTGTGAAGGTGTGTCCATTGACTCACTATCATTACCATAATAGGAATATGAACATGAAGAGAGAAAGTAAATGAAATGAGCTTTCTATTGGATCAGATGTGAATGTTATGAAAGAGGACCGGAACATGAGAAATGATTATTCATTTTTTTGTTCAAAGATAAGAATGCGTTTAATATATCTAAAGGTATCATCATGATAAGAAGGTTATAGCATCCTTTATTGGCCATTCGACATTTGAACGAAGCCCTTTTCTAAACAGAAACGAAAAACGGTTATAAGGAACTTCCTTACATGTTGGAACTTCTAGGTCGACTCCATATAATTTCATGTTCATGAACGGCATTGAATACCCCCTTCATCAAGGTCAATATAGGTGTGTTGAATTTAAAAATGAAATGTTTATTACAAAATAGATTAATTAACTTATAAATTTTCATTTGTTCCAACAATCTCTTCGTTCGAATTTGGCTAATCTCTCTCTCACTTACCTCCCACTCTCTCTCTCTCTCTATCTATCTCCTCCTTCTCGTTCTTCTTCTCCATCGTCTTCTCACTGTAGACTCTGCGAGTCTTGTGAGAAAGAGAGTATCTTACCGTTCTCATGATGTTCATTCGTTCTTCTGTTCAATTGGATAAATAAAAGCGGGCCATTAAAAAAAATTTCGGTACCTCCAACTTGTAATTAAACCGAAATCAGTAAAATCCCCCATGTACATCTGTTCGGTACCTCTCTTCGGTAATTCTCTACAGGTAATACCTATAGACCGGCTTTTTCCGTATAAGACCCATCATACAAAGCCAAAATGACTTCAGGAGCTATGAAGAAAGGAGTTCCGATGAAAGTTCTAGCGGGAACTGTTAACGAAGCCGAACCAAAGTCAGCTAAAACACAATGTAACATAGAACAATAGGTTTGAGCTTACCTAATTTCCCAATCCCATGGTCTGACAGGAGAATGTTGCCAGCTTTTATATCTCGATGTATCCGTTTCATGTTATGAAGATAATTTAAAGCATCCAAAGTCTAAAGAAACGAGTGAGAGAGAGAAGAAGCTGAGAGGAACTACTTGACTATAAATAACAGCGATTTCATTCTCTCGTAGACCCTTACGTAGAATATCTACGATGTCGGCGACAGAGCCAATACAATATTCCATAATAAGCTGAACATATTCATATAAATTTATCAGCAGATAGAAAGAAACTCACCCAACATGTCTGATCCTTAAGAAAGCAACCACGATACTCTACTAGATGTTTATGATGAATTTTATGGAGGAATGAAATCTGAAATTCAAGAGTACTAGAGTCTTCATTACTCGAAAAAACCTCTTTTAGTATATCAGTCCACTAAAAAGAAAATGTGCTACAAAGAAAAATAGTTTTTCGAAAAATACGCCAAAATTGATATAAAATGGGCGGGGCATCATAGCTGCTACCACTCTGGCTGTAACGTCAGCCCTTTGGTTACTTTTCATTATCATTGTACAGTTCATCCGCCTAGAAAGAGTGATCACGGATAAGAACTCTTCCTTCAGGCTTTTTTTGTGACCCCTGAGAAATTGAATTTTCAGAGGTGTACCTATACTTGGACTCACTGACACAGCTACGCAGAAAGTTCTAGACGAATTCAAGGAAATGCTAGGAATGCAAAGTAAGGCAGAGCGTATGGTATGTTTGGGTTTTGGTATTGGTATGAAGTATGCTTAAATCCTGTCCTAGAATACATACCATTAGCTCAAGATAGCATTGCCTTCCGCGCTGGCTTCAACCTCTCGTCGGATAATGCAGAAGAGATTGTCGAAATTATCAAGAACAGGTTGACATAGTTAGTCTCAGTAGTATTTTAGTATTACAGGAGTTACTTGAGTTGAGGAGATGATGAATCTGTCTTCGCTTTCTTTTTTCAATGCCAGAATCCTTTCTCGTCTTGGAAAAGGCACGTTTCTGTTTTTGATTTTTTTGATCAATTCATCACATCCCGCACTAGCTTAAGCTCATTCGATTCAGTTTTTTCTGCTCTGTCCTTATTTAGTATGCGTATGTATAGTATGTAAAAAACAACGAAGTAGTAGTAAACCAATTGCTTAGATGATTTGAGTGAGAAATTGAGTGTTCATACGACTATGGAACATCTTGGCGTTACTAACGCTGTTGATGAGAGTTCAGCCGCTCAGGCGGCCAAAGGCCACGCAGCGTTATACGCAGCCATTGGTTGATATTTTCAAAGACGGTATGTCATTCAACCTGGCCATAGTGATCATTCCTCACTTCTTTGATTCTCATTTTTCTTTCATTATTTTTTGAGTTTTGAAATGAATAAAGTTATATTCC